CTCTCCAAAGAATCTTTCCTTGTTGGGCTTTAGTGAAATGCATGAACTTTTCATTATAAATCTGAGAAGACAAATTTTGCTTCCTTGTCTGCTCTCTAAGCTAATGGCTTCCTGCCAGAGCTCATGGTATTTCTAACATATTTAAAATACCAGTTATCTGAAGTAATGGTGACCCTGTGCCCTTCCAAAATTTTTAGCTTTTCACATAGGGAATGAAGTTAAAAAGCAGATGGTGAAACTGGAAAACTAAATGCTGCTACTTACCTAACTATTCTAACTCTACTCTCAGTGCTTTATTCTGAATTTTGCTTTTTCTTTTTTTTCATGGAATTCACCTGGGGTCCATATTTTTGCTTAAAAGGAAAACCTAGAGAGCTGTGAGACAAAATAGTCCATGTTATCTTAAAATATAAACAGTATACAGAGTGCTCCAGTTCCTGCTGGAAGTCTCTTAAACTAACAAGCTATTTGAACCATTCATTATAATACCTTAAGGGAAGGGCATGGCCTGCACAGTCCTTCCATTTTCCTGCAGAGCCATTTATCTTTTACAGATGAGATTTTGGCACCCAGGACACTTCTAGCCAAGTAAACCTGGTTTCTAGGAAACCATTTATCTAGTACTGATTTCTTCTTTCAGTTGATGGTCTTCAAAACTATGTAACTACTTGCTGTAAAGTTTATATTTATTTATGTGTTTATCTATATGAGACTCCTCAAAGTAATTCAGCATGTGATTAAACATATGCACGCCTCCAAGTGTAAAATGGCTTAAGCTCTGTTGACCTGAAACCACTTCACACTTACCTGGCTGAGCATTCCCAAGTGTGTATGTCCGCACAGTAGTATCTGCTACAGTCTGGAAACTAATTGGCATGAGAGTGAAAGGACATGAGAGCCACAGGAATAAAATCAGAACACTAGTCACCTAGTTAATATACTCAGTTCACTGCAGGTCTCAAATGCTGTCAGATGACTTAACTGAAGAACTGAGAGGCAACCAAGCAGTGACCCTGAAAGCTCAAATCTCAGTCTATAATCACTCACGCACAGACTGTACTGAAGATCATTCTGTATACATCTCAGTCAGAACTGCCTGCTATTTTCCCTTCCTGGTGAACAAGCTATCGACCGTTTCAGCCTCCCATACTAGTGAAAAAACTAAAATTTCCATGCAGAAACAAATGGAGAGAGTGAAGGGACATTTAAAGTACACCTCTATTTAAAGAGGTGTATTTAAGCCGTTGGGGAACTGCTATCTCCAGATAAGATAAACTGTCATCCTTTCCCATACCACTTTGCACAGGAGATCCATTCATCAACTGTACTTACTTATGGACCGGGTCTCTCAATACCCACTGTATATGACAGCACAGAAAAGTCTTACTGAAAACCAAATGGAGTGTCCTGATTTCCAGTAATGTTCACAGTGTCTTTCCTTTTTTTTTAAAAAAAATACCAGCAATTTTTCTTTCCCATTTCAGCTTAGTTCTAATTCTTCCTTATCAATAAGTGGCCTTCAGTTTTATGCCCTGGTGATAACCTATTAGTTTTAACATCATACTTCAATAGAAGTAGTAAGTCATTTTTTTTTTAAGACAGCTAAGCAATAAAAGACAGCAGCTCTTGAGCACTCGCTCCTTGTTCTCCTCTTACCAGGTACGTGAACTCCTGGATATTGACAAGGTCAGTGATTATTTTTACTAGTTTCAGATGAAACTGCTTTTCTGTAGAATTTTTTCTTATTCATCCAAGACTGATTTTGCTTGACATTCACCATTCTCACTCCAGAGGCATTGTAATACACAGAATTCACTACTGCATGGTCAGTGGAGCACCCTGAGGCTATCTCTGTCTCCTGATATCTTTGACAAATATACTGTTCTAACATTCTCATTCCAGCGCTATAAACCTAAATAAAACATAATAAGAACAGGGTCAGGAACATCAGAAAATGTTCAGTATGAATCCTGACATTAAACAAAATATATCCAATTACTGTTTTTGCAATTCTGTTTGCCAGTCGTGTTCCACTGGTGTTTGTTTATATGTGATACAGGCAGTCATTAGGGTTCTGTAGACTTCCATTCACTCGACTAAATTTACACTTCTCATTCTTAGTCATGGCTTTCAGACTTCAAGTCATGCATGCAGGTTTCACTTTCCAAGTCAAAATTCAGTTCTCAAAAGTATTCACACAGGTTTGCCAATAGTGCACTCCAAAGTAATGTAATCTTACTTTTTAGGATTTTGTCCCCTCATCTGTAATATCTTGCTATCAAGTGTTCATTAATACACCATGATTCCATTGACATTGAGAACGCCCTGTATTCCAAGATAAGTATATCTAAGAGTAAGCTATGTTCTCTTTGAATACTGTCAAATGCAAAATCAATCATATTTTTCTCTTTCTGATGCTTTCTGGTACATTCAGGCCATTTTTTTTTCTTTCTTTTATTTTAAAAAAGTTGTGTGTTCAATACAGGCTAGCCCAAAAAGTAGAACTAGGAGAAGAAAAAATGTTATCCCAGCTACAGAGATTTGATCACTCTCTTACCCGGATTGTGATGTTTTTGGGCTAAGAAAAAGTAGGTAAGATTAACAGCACCTAAAAGATATGTAGCACACCACCATTCTGCCATTCTGCCTCAAGGAGGTTTTGGGTTGTGTGAGAGTAGTAAAACTTACCATATGGTGCAGGTAGTGTTGTGCTAAGTATGTCATATCAACATTTTTGTTACTTCAATTTGCAAACATACCTCTTACTGAAACAAACTTTTTCTGTAAACCTCCTTTTGAAGATGAAGCCATTGATCATACATTACTCCTAAGTAGTTAAGTGCTTGCTCTTCCTTCTTAGCCATCTAAATCCTTGATTACTCTGGTTGTGTACTCAAGTTATTGAAAAAAGATATTGTCCTGCTATCTTAAGATCACAGCTTTTCCATCTTCCATTGCTGCTTCCAGCAATTCATCCACATTACTTTCCAACACAAACCGATTTGTTCTGATGCCTCGTTCACTCCCTTGTTCAGCAAATTTGGTTTCCTTTTGCTCTCTCATGACCCTTTATTATCACAGTCTTTCATTATCCATTCCATTTTATCTGCCTGGGAGCTAATCTTCTTTACAATTATAGCCACTATTTCTCTAATACAAACTGATCCATCGTCCTAACTGAAAAACGAGTCAAACCTACCAGTATTACTTCCACTATGGCACGTCAGGTCTGCCTCAACGCCAGCAAGCAGTGGATGGGAAAGCCCAATTACTTAATGAACTTTTGAACGAGTCTGGAAAATGAAATTGGCACATATTACTAAAATGCCTTGCGTTCACGTAAGAATAAGAGGAGCCCTCATGTCCTATGATATTGAGTGTTTTATACCATAAAACCGGGGCTTGCGGGCCCTTTGGCAGCGGGGCTCGCACAGCCCGCACCGCCGCCTTCGTGGGGCGCGGCGGCTGACACAGCGGTATGCCAGCCATCGGGCGCTCAAAAACAGTGCTGAAGGTATCCTGCCCTCCTACCCCTGCCCTCACTGCAAAGATGAGTGGTTTAAGATGGGCTTCGGCACATCAAGATATCACACGAGATATTCCTGTGCCGCTCCCTCAACAAATAAAAGTTTTAACCTGTTTTTCCAGGTAGGTGACGCGAGGGCCCTGTGCCGCCGCTTTGTTTTCCCACCCTGCTCTCCATGATGCTGCTTCCTTTCTTTCCCTTTCCGCTCTTTCCACCTTCCCTTGCAATTGCCCCAGGCCAACGCACGGGCATCCTTCCCGCTACAGTTTAAACCGCCCCCTCCGGCGCCGGTTGGCGCCGGTTGGCGCCGGTTGCAGGAGGGGTAAACGTCCCGCAAGGCACGAGGCACGCGGACGGACAGGAGGCTCTGCTGCCCGACGCCCTCTGCCCGTGTCCCCGTGCGCTCCTACGGCTGAAATTTCAGCCCCCTCCTGCAGAACTGGGGTACCGGGCTGGGCTGGGGATCTGCTGCGTTACCCTGGACACCAAAATTTCTCATTCTAAACCGGTGTATCAGACTCTCTTTAGCAAGGGAAATAAAAAAAAAAAAGTTTTCTGCAGAAAAAAAAAAGGTCTAAATTTTCCCTCTGTTTATTTTTATTTCAGTATAACACTTCTGGTCAGAGCATATGGCAGTGCTTTTTTCACACTTGAATCATTCAAAAATGCCTCGGCAGATTTTATTCAGACGTCCAACATAATCACTTTCGGGCTGAGGTCGAGTGCGGAAAATTGAAGCCAAAAGGAATTTGGATTGTGAGCATTGGGAAAAGGGATAGGAAGGCAGGGGAGCGGCTGGATTTGTAACTACCTAACTCTAACCACATTGCAAAGAGCCTTACAGCTTCAGCCGCTGGCCTGCTCCGGTTTCAGAGGAACGAATACAATATATTTGTTCAGGTAACATGGCAAGGAGTTTTCAAAGTCCCAAAGGGAAGTAGTCTGCAGACATCAAAACGTCAAACTATTTTGCTAATGCGTTAACCGATCGCTAAGGGGAAAGGAAGGGGAACATTAAATCCTTTGAGGAGGTTGACAAGCAGATGCAGGAAGCTTATCTGATTCATGAACTGGAGCAAAAGGTATCCTCTAGCTAACTCAGTATTTACCAAGGTCTGCCGAGAGAGGAGAGTTCAGGAAGCTGGATGGTGCAGGTGCCGTTTATTCCGTGACAGCCCGTGTGGTGGCGACATGGCTAATGCGATACTGAGATGAAAAATTACCCTACGAAACATCAGATTGATTTTGAAAAGAAATAATTTAATGGCAGGGGGGAGAGGAGAAGCCACCTTGTTTGAGAGTATTTCAGAGTAGGCTGGGGTGTGCTTCGTTACAGATATTCTGGATTTCCTGTGCAAGCAAAGGAGACAGCGTGAGCACCAGCAGCTAGGTATAGTGACAGCAAAGCAAGCACAAATGTATCTTCATAAAAACTGCTGCCTTCGGTTTCTGTAGAGGTCAGTCTATCCATGCCTAGCTGGGAATACCTGGTGATATGTAAATTATCTCTGATAACTAAACCCAGCTGTCTTCCCCTTCTGTGTCAATAAAGCTTCAGATTCACTCTTACTTAAAAAAGCTTCTTGGCAGCTGTCGATATGAATTTGAAGGGTAGCCTGGAAAGCTGGACTTGAACATTTTCTGAAGTAGTATTGGCAGACAGCCTGAGACAATAGCTCAGCTAAGTGTGATATACGTAGTTTTCTGTTTAGGTTTCGGAGACAATTCAGGGTGGATTTTCCCGTTGAACTCAATATGAGTCTCACCGCTGTGACCAAGGAGTCCTGCCGCTTCCAAGGGAGCCTTTGGGAAGTTCATCCTTTCAGCTAATACAAACAAGAATCCTCAGCACTTTTTCAGTACAGACACAAATGAAAAGGTTGTTATAAATAAAAACACAAGAGCCTACTGACTTAATCCATTGAGATTGCAGTGCTAGCACTGTAACATGTGCTAGCACTCAGCAAAATCCAGAAGGTTGCCTTTATCAACAGGGAAGCAGGAACTTCAGTTTACCCAAGTAATGATTCAGAGAAAAGTGGGGAAAGAAGCATAAATGCCCGGGATAGGAAAACAGGGATGAAAAAAGATGTAACTTCTGTCCAAGCTCAGTGAGATACGCCCTAGTTTGGCAGTTAGGTCTTGGAGAATGCTCATTCTAAAATGCAGGTTGTTAATTTAGAATGTGATTCAAGGGAAATTCTAGTTTCCTGTAGACTAGACATATAAATACGTTTCTGAAACATTGCAGAAACTCTTTAATTAGCGAAATTTTATATCAGCTTTACTATACAAATAGACATTAATGACATACATCTGCAAACACATGTTAATGAAATACATACGCACATAAACATCAAAGTTCAAATAATGCTTTCTCTTGCAACAAAATACTTCTTTCAAGCTTGATCAGAATTGAAACATCTATTTCCATTTTGAAAAAAGTATTTATAAAAAACAGAAGAAGAAGAAAATAAAATTATTCAATTCTTTCCAGGGAAAATATACTTCCAAATATGAGGACAGGAATAAATATGTATAAATGTCACAATTTGTTTCTACCTCTGTGCATTTTAGGAATTACTGGGAAAACAGTATACTAGATAATAGAGGGAAAAAAGCATCATTTTCCAGGTTGAGATAAAGACATTCTTGAAAAATCTTTTATTCCCTTTTCACAATATGGTTTCCAGATTCTGCACCTTCCAAGGATGTGTAAGTGATAGGGAAGTGAGAGGAAATAATTACAGTTACTGGATCTGTTTTGGTCCAAGGTAGCTGAGTATTCAGCTGCCTATCAGATTGGAATTGCCATGGCCCAGAGGCAGTTTGAATGCAAAAAGAGCTCTGTTCTGTTTGTGTAACACAGACTGAGCAGTGTGCTGTCTCTACTCTGTAGTTCCATCGTGCTTGAGGAGTTTCTCAGTTTATCAAACAATTAATGATGCATTTTGAAGATATTCTATCTTGTCTAGGTTGTCTGCTACTATATTTTTTCCTTCTGAAACTGAGTAACATAATGCTTGTGTATAATTGCAATTCAGGCCATTATATTTTCTTCAGAAGATAAATCTACCCTGTGCTTGATGAGAATTCCATATGCAGAGTTGCATTGTTTTGATCATAGAGACATTTAAATATACATTTCTTGTCCATTGCAAGTAAAACTTCCTTCTAGCCTCGATTTGGAAGAGAAAATACAGAAAAGATGCCAAATTCTATTGTTAGAGTAGTGAAGTTTAGAACGTAAATATTATAATTTGGCTTATTATATGTTGAAGACAACTTAAGTCCAATTTAATTGAAGACCAGTCATGTTCTCTGTCATGGGCTTGTGAAGGGTTTTAAGTAATTGTGTCAGCCTCCCTGCAAGGAGTGTGGCTTACTACTTCTCTGGCCTTCTTGGATTAAGATTTCATGAATGCCAATCTCCTTAGATATTTTTTCCACTGGAAGGAATTCAGGGCTCTAAAGTTTCAGTATTCTTCTACAAATAGATCATATAGAACCTGCAGTAAGTTGTTTGAATTTCACGTTCATTTTCATGATTTCATATAAAATCATATTGCCTAATCATCATGCATTGTGTACAAACACCACATTTCCAAGAACAAATATTTCAGAAGAAGCATGAATTATTCCCAGAATTACCAGTGATTCATCAGGTCTGCAACTTTGGCTGATGTAAATTAGCATAGCTGTAGTAAATGAGGTTATGCTATCTACACCAGCTAAAAGATGTGTCTCATTGCACTGCAGTGAGAAAGTTGGCAAGACATATCCATCTCATGTTCTTATTAATACTCCTGACATGCTTTTGTTACTGCTTCCTTTGTGAATTTACGTGCAAAACTGTAGAGTCTATGGGCCACAAATATAAGATCAAAAGACTGAAGCAGTTTTCTGTTAGCTATTTAGTAGATGACTATGAGCTAGGCTGGAACACTTTTCAAGAAATGTGCATTAAAAGCAGTGAGGATTTCCAATTTGAAAACAATAACATGATCTGGACCAAGTCTGCTTCCAGAAATTGAACAGTAAGTTACAAAATAGTCTGGTTCTCCAGCATTTTAGGATGACAACAGTTCAAGATTTTTGTGGTGAAAGCATAACCTTTGAAACTGTTATTTCACAAACAAATGGCAGGCTCTGTCCGTCTTCACACAAACACAAGATTTGATTGCATCTGTAAAAACTGCCTTCAAGCATTTCCTTTGGCTGATGTGGAATGCTGACTATTCATTAAATCCGTCATAGAAAGAAATTTTTTGGGCCCTTATGAACTTCTGAAGTTTTAGGGGCTAACAGCTGCTTATCTTGTGAATAGAATTTCCTGTTCATATTCTTCCAGCCTATTTATTCACCAGAAGCACAATAAATGTCAACAAAAATAACATATTATGTTCCAATCCTTAAAGACAATTCAGAAATCTCAGATGTTTTATACTTCCCAAATAGGCCTCTGTTCTATTAATGAATGTACTAGTATGGCCTTATTCAGATCTCATTCAGTTCTAGTTATTGTTAGTTGAAGTGAAGCTATAAAGATGTTGAGGGCCTGATTAAAAAAGACATGTCCTCGTAATGTACGAAGCACCATTTTAGAAAAGACTGAATTTTTTTTATTGCAAAAAAACTCTTCCCTTGCTATGACGGTCAAATTCTGAGTAAATCAGTTGTTCTAATTCACTTCAGGTTAGTTAATAAGCAGTGATTTTTGGCTGATGAAGTGAGATGTCTTCCGTTCTCTCTCCTCTGTGGAAAGTTGCACGGCTTTTAGTGCTATCTCCCTCAGCTGATTCCAGCTATAGTATCACTGGAGGATCCACTCGTGGTGTAATTCATTCTTGGGAGGAAATGCAGCAGATGTTCTGTGGCCGACACTCCCGATCCTACAAACCATGCACTACAATTTTTAATTGGCCAAGAGGTACAGGATGGAACTAGAGTTTACGTGGTAAGTATGGAAGATGGGATGGACAGAACAATGATTTTCCAGGACTCCCACTGCAAGATATGGTAGGGTAGGACTGGGCGTAGCAAGAGTTCAGCATAAATAGACAATATGCATCTCTGTAGCTTCTCCAGAACTCGGAGTTAGAATTAGCCATCAGAGACGTACTGCCTATGCACTGGCATACGTCCACCATGCATCCCAGCATGCAACCTGGGATGTCTGAATTGCCTGAGAGCTGCTTCTGATCCCACCTGTGTAAGTTTAAAATAGAAAACAAAGAGTATCAGATTCAAACAGAGGGAAATCTGGAATCAGTAACTGATCAGTAACTAATTTGCTGAGACCTAAGATGAAAATGTTACTCCTTCAAAAGTTCACCTGGATCACAAATTGTAGAAACAAGTCGTTTGCCTCCCAGACAAAAACTGACCCTGATGGCATTCTGCTTGAATTTTGGTTCAGTAACTGAGCAGAAGCATGCCACGTTTTGAATGGAGCTATTTCTAGCAATGCCTGTTCAACAGAACTGCCCTGATCTGCTCTCTCAAAGTGTGTCTGCCACCACGATTAGGTCAGCTGAAGGGCTCACCACTTTCCGTGATAGTTGGGCACACAGGTGCAGCAAACAGTACTGTTCTGTTTATTCCCAGGGAAGTAACCTGAAAACTGTTCTCAAAAGGGAAGCTAAACACATGACAAATCATTCATTTTTTGCTTAATATGCTACTGGGGAGTGTTCACACACTACAGAAAGCAAAGACTACAACAAGACTACCCATTCTCTAGGACTTAGAACCACATTGCCTTGAACTCCTTTGACAGCTTTGAGTGATATTTTTAGTATCTAAGTTTGTGGTGCTTATGGATTCTACAAGGCAGGAGCACATTGGGAAGCATTAAGAATTATGCACTAAATAGCTTCATAATGTTTGAAGGAAATTACCCTCCCTGCTAGTTTAAAAATCTCAAAAAAACCCCTCTGTTTTGTGCAAGAAAGCAGAGAGTTTTGTGAGCAATAGAAGTTACTGTAACAAGTGGAAGGTTGTTTTCCAGAACCCTCTAGCTGGTGTTCAGTGTCTACCACACACACGCACGTTACAATGCATGTGCGCACAGCAACTGTGAAGCAGGTGTGTAGTGAAAGCAGACTATTCAACATCTGTGCAGCACATCTGGTCTCATTTATATGAGATGGTGAGTTGCTATGTACATGTGCCACAAGAAAGATGTTCTTAACATGCTCTTCATAGCTTTTTACCTCATGATTCCACTCTCTACCTAAAGATGTGAACGCTGTCCAAAGCTTTTACTGCAACCAAGGCATTCGTAATGCTCATATGAGCACTTTCTGATGTCCTTGAGGTGCAAGCTCACACTGCAACCTTTCTCTGGAGTGGAGCAAAAACGGAATATCTCTGGAAAAACAGATCATTTCTTTAATGAACACATGTAAGTATTCCATGTGAGATGTCTGTCTCTTTCGGGTGAAACTGCCCAACAGATTCAAAGCTGTAGGGATGGTAGGGGAAATAAGAAGTTTAGACTTTGTGGTTCCTGCTTGGAGACACTGTATTTTCCATCCAATCCTTACTACGTCTAGGGCATCAACAGTGGCACTGTCAATGTTCTTCTGTACCCTGGAGGCCACAAAACTCTTTTTCTTGCCCCAGTATGAATTCTTGTGCTTGTCAGCCAATAGCAAATGCATAAACCATATATTCTCCACAGTTGTCATTCACTCTAAGACTGAGAAGATAAATCCAAAGTCATCTCAAATGCATGTCATTAGTACTTCTTAGTTTTTCAGGGGATATCTACTTATTTACATATACACTTAGACCTTTCTCAGAAGGCGGGTGCACTCCTATTTGCGGTGGTGAGGAAATTGGGCAGTGATGATGATGGCATCATAAATTCAAGAGGATCCATAAGCCATGCACAATCTGACTTACAGTTTGTTGCACAAGTATCATTCTCCCTGTTGGTAGCTGAAACATACTTTAAACTAGCTGCTTTAGAAATAATCAAGCATATAACGAAATCCATGACTACTAATCTGAAAGTGGCTCTGGATTCCCACTCACAAGCTCTACAATCCATACCTACTAAGCTTTCCATGTGAAGAGGGATAGTCAGTCCTTCCTAAGGATGTTTTTTTTATCTGTTGAGAGCGTAGCAGTATCTTGGGTCATTAAGAATTGGTTCATTATGTTCATTAGTTTTTCAAAATCATTTAGCTTCTCTGAAGCTCTATAAAAGATTGGTGTGTACTGGCTTGTAAATATAGAGGCACTACCAAATACAATAGGAATAGTTTATATTTACATTTTTATTAGAATTTCTTGATTTAAAGGAATGCACCTACTTCTTTGAAGTTGAGAGCAAGTACTCTTTCTGCTCTGCCTTGAACTGAATGATCATGGGTGCACTGTAACTGTAGTATCACTGTGCAAATAAAGTCATTGCTGTTCTAATCATTCCTGTATTTTTCATGTTTACAAATGCAAGTATAAGTAAAAAAATGGACTTGAGTGCTGGGGCTTCTGTGATGACTTATCCTTCACATTTCTCATCCTTGTCTATACTACTGTATCCTTACAATAGACAGTTTTGGCCCAATGTTACCCTCAGCTCCTTGAAAACTATACAACTGTCTTCTGTCTACCCTGGCTATAAAGGGAAGATAACAGTGTCCCTCGTTAGCTGCTCACTACCCAAAAGAAGACAGGAATTGCTCCCATAGCAGTAATATTTTTAGGATACGACCAGTGAACAGAACCGAGTACGAGCTCCAGTCATGGGGAGCAGCATAAGCTGTGCTGATGATTGCATCCTTACAGGGCTATTATACATTCATGCAAGAGATGCAAAGTAAAAAAGAAGCTGCATCCAAAATAGGGAATGATATTATAAAATTTAAGTACAGTAGTTCTTGGTGTATAAACAAAGAACTTTTAAAGCAATCTTAACTTTTAAAGAAAACATTAAGAGATGAGTGACAGTAAGAGGTATTTTCAAAACAGCAGGATGGCTTATTCAGCAATTGATGTCTTTTTCCTAATTGTAACATAAATAATGAAATGGAATTTAGAAGAGGGAGCTTGCAGCTGCAGCACCATTTTGCCATCACTTAGTTTTGAATGCTTGTCTGGCTATGTCAGAGGGAACAGCTGTGTAGCCCCTTTTCAAATCACAACTTCATTTACCTCTGTATTGTAGAAGGGTAAAGAGGAGAGATCCTGGATTTCTTTTCCCTCCAAAATAAGAAACAGCATTTAACAAACCAGGTTTTTCATGGCTTGTATAAGTGAACTGAAAGCTAAGTATAACAGATACTGATGTTACAGGAAAACTTGAATGTAGAACCCAGATTTCCCTGTTGCATAACATGAATCCCTGGTGAACAGAGGCTGAAGCCCATGGTCAGGAATGAGCAAAAGCTGTTTAGGAAGAACAAGCAGGGAAGAAAAGGATGGAGTCTCATGAAGAATCTGTTTTACTGCCCAGAACTCCAGCATGAAGCTGGAGGATGTGCCCATGGAGAACCTCTGGGTCATGATCAGAGAGGAGACATACACGGAGGATGGATCTGTTAAGACTGCCTGACCAAGAGGAGAGAGCAGATGAGGCTCTCTAGAAAGAGCTAGCAGATATCTCCTGCTTTAGGCCCTCACCCTCATGCAGTTTTCAATCCTCTGGACATCTGCTAGGAGGACAACATGGTATTCTGTAAGCAATCCAGGAAAATCCTAGATTGTGTTGGTGATAATTTCCTAACACAGAAATGTTAGAGGGTTGACCATAGGTAATACTCTGCCAAACTTCTGCTCACAAACAGGGAAGAACTAGGGGAAAATGTAGTCACAGTTGGCACCTGGGATTGCAGGAACCAAAAGATGATTGAGTTCAGGATCTGCAGCAAGGCTAGGAAAGAAAGCAGAGGGTTAGGATTCTGGATTTCGGGAGAGCAGACTTGGCTTACTTTTTAGGGAACTGCCAGGCAGAATGCCCTGGGAAGGAGCCATGAAGGGGAAGGGTGCCCAGGAAAGCTGGCTGATTTTTAAAGAAAATTTTTTGAGAGCGCAGGAACAAACCATCCTGTTGTGCAGGAAGACCAGGAATTTTGGCAGAAGGCCTGCTTGGCTAAGCCAGGAGCTTCTCAATGAACTAAAACTTGAGCGTACAAGAAGTGGAGACAGAGGCAACGAAAGAAGAGTAGAAAAACATTTCTCAGCAATGCTTATGGACAAATGCTATAGGGATGAAATCAGGACGGCCAAAACAGAAGGTGAGGCTGGAACTAAAGCTAGTTAGGGAAAGGACATAAAGGGTAATAAGAAGGTATTTAATGGGTATGTTAGCTGCAAAAGGAAGTTCAGAGAAAATGTATGCCAGTGGGACGAATGGAGAGGCAGTCTAGTGATAGACGACATGCAAAAGGCTGAAGTACTCAATGCCTTTTTTGCTTCAGTCTTCACGGACAAAACTTGTTCCCAGAACTATGTGTTTACCAGCCCATATTGGGAAGAAGAAGGGGTAGCAACAGTTTAGGGACTACTTAGATAAGCTGGAAGTATTCAAGTCCATGGGAACAGATGAATGCTGAGAGAGCTGGCTGATGTACTTTTGATACCTTTATCCCCTATTAAAAATAATGACAATCAGGAGTGCTCTGAGAAGCACATCCTCTTGAACATTTTCAAAGCCTAAAAGCATAAGAAGATAATGAGGAACAGTCAGCACAGATTTCCAAAGTGCAAATCATGCTTTGCCTGCCAATTCACTTTCTCTGACAAAATGACTAACAATGTAGGCAAGGGGAGAGTGGTAGGGAGACTATACCTTGATTTTACTAACGTGTTTGACACCATCTCCTACTGTATCCCTAAACTCATTCAGAAGCTGAGGAAGTGTAGGCTTGAAAAATGGACTGTT